TCCATGTCATAAGCGTCCGAACCTTTCTAGCCGTTAGAGTATTTTTGCTTTCCCTTTATCGAGAGTGCCTTCTCGGGGAATCGACTTTCCCGATCTCTCTTCATTATTTTCCTCGAATGTCATGTATGTGTATTCAATCAATTTTCACCCTATACAATGGATTTATGTGGTCATATTTTCTCTAAACCCTGCATATATAACGAAAGTTTAGTGTATCAGACTTTCCTTTTTATTCAATGTTGAGTAATACATATAATCATCTATATAATAATTCGGTATTTTAAGTTAGTAAATGTATAAACTACTACTAGTAGCGATTTCAAAAAATATCTAACTATATATATATATATATATATATATATAATTCACCTTCAAAACATGTTAGCATTAGAAAAACTTTTAATGTGTTTCACATATTTGGTACTAGTAATTAATTAATCACTTGTTGAATTTTCATCATTTCCTATTTGAATAATAATAGTTGAATAAGGTACATTATGTACTAACTAGATCTGTATTTATATCCTATTTTCAACAAAAAATTCATGAAGCTTTACCTAATTGCTTTACTTTATTTCTTACTTGAAAGAAAAATTAGTGCGGTTGATTTGATATTAATTAGAAATTTCCTTAATTTGTCCCATCACGACTTTGTCCTAACACAATCTCAGTAATTGAGATTAATAATTAATTAAGATACATGACAGGTGGATTAGATTTGGATCAATGAACTAATTAGTGGGATCAACTCATGAACAAATTATGTGGGCTAATTTGTGTGTTGGTGGGATGAACGAAGTCACATGCTTTCTACAACAAGACAATTTCGTCCAATTATTATAGGGAAAATGCCTAAGTACCCCCAGTCTATGCCTAAAATCCCTGAAACACACTTAACCTTCACTAAGGTCCTATTACCCCCCGAACTTATTTTATATATAATTTTCTACCCCTTTTCGGCCTACGTGGCAGTATCCTTGAAAAATTTGTCAACACACGCTGGGCCCACAAAATAGTGCCACGTAGGCCAAAAAGGGGTAGAAAATTATATATAAAATAAGTTGGGGGGGGGGAGGGTAATAGGACCTTAGTAAAGATTAGGTGTGTCTCAGGGATTTTGGGCATAAGCTGGGGGGTACTTATGCATTTTCCCAATTATTATATAATTAATGTTTCATTATAAGAACGTGATGTGTTGTTTCATTTATTTACCGTTCCCTTATTATTTGTCATGTTTTTTTTGTTTTTGTTTGGAAATAGCCTCTTTGAATTTAGTAATACTTCAAAACAAATAAATCATACATATCGGTTATCTTGTGTGGAAAATAGAAATAATTAATGATAGAGCAAAGACTAATAACATCTGATTTGATTTCGAATGAAACGAATCCCTCACTTTGACAAAAAAAAAAGACAACTAAACACGAGATTTACATTTTTGTAAGACAACCAAATACCTTAAAGATACGAGCAACAATAGTCATGCACCACATGCGTTCGCATTACCCCTCCTAACAACTCTCTCTATATATATATTGATCGTGTCATCCTTATTTTAGGACGTAGCATATGCTCACTCTTCAGCCTTCCATATCAAAATTGGGTTGTGTACTTTCATATAGGGCGATACTATAACAATTATAATAATATATTCAATGTAATCTGTTACAAATAAAGTTTAGGAAGGTGGTTTGTGTACACAATTATGAAGGTAACAAGGTTGTCTATGATAGACCATTGCCTAAGTAGATCATATAAAAACAAATGTAAAGGAAATACAATAACAGAAAAGTCATGATCAAAATAATAAAGAGGAAAACACTAGCAACCGCAAAAAATACAATGACTAAATCAAATACAACATCAAGTAATTATACTCATCAATCTAAGAATAAACATCAGAAAAGTAACAATCACAATACTGAAAGAGTAACTTAACACCACTCGACGTGTTAACTTTCTATCATAATTCTCGATCTCTATATCTTCTTATCTAACAAAATCTCATCAATTTTTAAAAATCTTTTGTTCGTTTTTCACTCTTTCCTATTCACGTGCCCACTCACACCAAAAGAAAAAAGTGACATGTGCAAAAAGGTTTAGTTATATATATCTAACAAGTTAATAAAATTGAAAGGTGTATATCTACAACCAGTAAAATAAGATCAAAGTTAGATTTTACTTTTGTACAATAAATCTAGTAGTCACATGATTTCAAAATTCCCAGTAAAAAATTTAGAATTTTTTAAAGGATAAAAGTAATTAAAAGTGAGATTTGGGGAATCAACCTGGCTAAGTGTGAGTTGTAGTTGGATCACGTTCAACAATTTATATATTGCAAGTGATCCAAGAAATTTTGTACTTCCCAACGTACACTACATTACAAAAATTGAGACAATAATAATAAATTAAATAAATAAATAGTAAGGTGTATAAAATATAGATAATGTGTAAACATGTAATGCTTGAAGGTAACAAAAATTTTGGCAGCTCTGATCACATGAATTCCCAATTCCCCTACAGACTAGTAACCCCACCACCCCCACCACCCATAAAATCAGCATATCATAAAATTATGATATAAGTTATATATATATTGACTATTGCAATAAATATACTATTTAGTTTGTGTAACATATTATAAAATGAATACACTCTCCGATTCATATTAATTAAGTGAATTATCGAATATACCATACCCTTTTACAAAAAGTATTTAAAACATTAAATTAAAAGTTAGTTTCTGTTATTAACTTTTAAATTATTTTAAAACTAGTTTAATTTACTAGAAAATATAAAATAACTTAATTAGAGTCTCATTAAATGAAGAGTAAATATGAAAAAAAAATTAAAAAGTCTCAATAATTGTCTTGAGCTTTGAATAATTCACTTATTATGAACTATGAAAAAAATCTCAATTATTTAAAAAGCATATTATATGAGATGTCATTACATGTGACATTATCTTGTACTCTTCCTCATTACTAGAGGATAGGATTTCAATTTTATGAAAACAATTTATAGTGTTATTGAACCAATATACAAATTACTAGTTTCGTCATGTATAAATGAGATAATTATATTAGAATAAAATATTACGTACGCCGATTGATGTCTCCTTGTTGGAAACATGAGTTGAGTGAGTAGTCTACAAAATTAGTGAGCCACGTCATTAGATTAAAGAAAAGGATTGTTGTGTTGTGTGGTGGGGCTCAAGGGTAAGGGGATGGGGCCCTCAATTAAAAGATTGCCACGTGGATCCATGATTATTGGGTGTAACCTTTGTAGTGAGAGAGCACATGGGGATGGTGTTTCCTTCGAGAATTTCATGTGATCACATGTGCTTTTACTTTGTTTTTTCCTCTTATAATGGACCCCACCTTCTGCGTCCTTATCTTGTTTTTCCTACACCCTCACGCACTCGATCACACTCCCTTCTCACTCGCCTGTTTCATCCACGTGACTTTCACTTGCGGAGATGTACATTGAGAGGATTACAGGGCCGGCTCTATGCTTTATTTGAATAAGGCATTGGCCTTAGCCCCCAGCCTCAATTTTTTACCAATAATAAATTATGTGTTAAATTTTTATAGAAAAGATTGATTATTTATGATAATATATATATTTTAAAAAATATATATATTTTACTCTTTTTAATCCCATTTAAATAGAAGAAATCAAGAAAAAATATTTTATTTTCTTACACTCACTGCACCAATATTCACATTATTTTATTCTTTTAACTCCTTTTACACTCTCTTCTTTAAATTTTTGATAAGTTAGAGTAATATTCTATCAAAAATATGAATCAATAGTCGAAAAGTGTTGAGTGAATTGTAAATTCTTTTTCTATTTCTTTTTAGATTTTCAAGCATTACAACAAGCATAGTAAAATGTGGGGTATACAAAATTATCAACTTGTTGAATCAAATTCTATGTTAACAATTCATATAATAATTGCCCGAATAAGAAATGTTTTTCAACGTTGAATTGATAAAATCTTATCTAAAGCTAATAATTGTAAAAGAAATCAAATAAATCATTTATAAAAAAAATATTAAGTATACTTTGCATTTAAAAATGTAAGTTTTTTTTTTTAAAAAAATTAATGCATATGAAGTTTATTTAGATTTTAGGCCTCTAGTTGAAATTTCGCTTTAGGCCTTCGATTGCGTTGAGCCGCCCCTGAGAGGATAGTTATACAAGGTTTGTTGAGGAGAGATGAAAGTAGGTTAAAGAAGTATAAGATATGATATGATGTATCTTTAGGTTACTCAGAATATGACTATAGATAAAAGGACGTGGAAGGTACGAATTAAGATTAAGATTAGTAGGTAGTATAGTGTTGTTTTGCTTAGATTGCCTAGTATTGTAGTTCTTTTTTTTTTTTTTTTTTGAAATTGAGTTTTAATAATCGATCCTAATATGTTGTTCGTGGTATTTGAATTATCACATGACTTTATTGTTGTTTTGGCTCATTTTTGATAGATTTTTTCACTGTTTTCTTGTTATTTGTTATATTCTCTTCATTGTCTCCTTTATTTTTTTATATTGGGATTTGTTATAATTGAGTCGATGGTCTCTCGAAACTACCTTCACGGAGTAATGATAAAATCTGCATACATTTTATAATTGACGATCAAAAATACGTTTATATTATCGTTTTTTCATATTACTACTTATACATTGAAATATATTTCAATTATAAGTTTATTTTTCGTTTTTATTTGAATTATCATCATTAATAAGGTATGAAAAAGGAACAACTAATATTGGAGGAGATAAAATCACTAGGGCATGTGACGCGTGGGAGTTAATCGCGGTGACAAACCAATATGGATCAGGGGATTCACTAAAAACCCAAAACCCCAAAAAAGTAGGCCCAGCTTGGTTGGCATTGACATTTCTATAACACAACAATAATTTAACAGTCCACCACCACCACTTTCACCCTATAACCATTCTTCTCTTCTCTTCAAAAAAAAGAAAAAAAAAGTTCCATGGAGAGTAGTTGTGAAGAATCAAGTGCAATAGTAGCCACATTTTCAAGAAAAGATAAGAGGATGACTCAAAATGTGTCTAAAAGGCAAAAAAGAAGGAGAGAAAGTGGCTATATTGTTAATAATAATAATGAAGAAGAAGAAGAAGTGGAAGAAAAGATCTTGGCATTGCAAAAAATAGTACCAGGAGGAGAAACACTTGGAGTTGATATGCTATTTGAAGAAACTGCTGGCTATATTTTGCAATTGCAATGTCAAGTTAAAGCACTCAAAGTTCTTGCTAGCTTTGTTGAAGGAAATGACAAACAAAGGATGAAGCTTGGAGGTTAAAATTGTCTTTTTTTTTTGTTTTGGTACATTTTGGTTAGTAATCAAAGACCAAGTTTAGTTTTTTTTTTTTTTGTTTTGTTTTGTTTTGGAGCTAAGGAGAAGGGCTAGTGAAAATTAAAACTTGCACCTTTATTCAATTGTTTGGTTCTCTTAATTTCTGTCCTTTTTTTTGTTGGGGTGGGGGTGGGGGTGGGGGTAGAGAGATCTTAGAGATTTCAAATAGGAATTAATTTTCTTTTAATTAAATTTATCATAATATTATTCATTTCCAAGTGGTACTTTGAATGAATAACTAATAGAATATGTATGAATTTATGGAGATTTGGGGATTATTTAGTAAATGAAGATATATATAATCACTTGTTATGGCTCAAATGAAATTGTTTTAATATATTTTTCGAATAATAATTTTAAATTTATATGGTATGAATCTAGATTAGCTAGGAGAAGGAGTGGAATTAATTTTGATATAAACTTTTCATTTGTTTTTAATTTGTATACTTTAAATTTAAAAAGGCTAGAATTTCAAATCTATAAGTTTCAATTTTTGACTCTGCTTCTGAATCAATAACAATAATAACATATAGTGAAATTTTATAAGTAAAGTCTGAAAAAGATAAAGTGTGTACAGATTTTATCCATATCTTACGAAAGAAAAGAGCATGTCATGAAGATAAAAGAAGTCGTTTAAACAAACTTGATTCAAATAACATTTATCTAAATAAATTTAAGATAAGATATTGAACATCAGGTAAAAAAAAAAAAAAAAAAACTAAGGAATGTTCTTGGATCATGTAGTAGGAAGTGTGATGATTTGGAGGTATCTCCAATTCTCTTTACCAAGAAAAATGGTCCTCAGTTTGTCTTTGTCCCCCCTCCCCTTTTGTTTCTGATTTATTATTAAAGGTAAATGTGTAATGTTTAGATCCAAAAAATTGACATTATAAAATTAGAAATAGAAAATCTAATAATAGAGAAATTAAATAAAATGATATGGATAAATATAAAACTTTTATACAGCTAGCCTGAGTTTTGGATTTAAGTGCAGTGATTGTTATGGTATTTACATGAATGTGGGGTTGAAATCTATAAATCATGTGGTGCAACAGCAGTCAATTTCCAAAAATAGACAGGTAATATATATACATACAGTATGAGGTACGACACAGCATCCAATGTCTGACAACTTGTACCCATTTAGTACAATAACTATTCATTTTATATCGAGATATATTTTACGTTCTTGAATCGATAATTGAATCTATAATCAGTTTCGGACGTGGATTCTCTTACTATGAGAAAAAGGCTCAAAATAGTCCCTCATCTTTGAATTAGGACTCAAAGTCATTTCATATGGAGCATTAATAGTCCCTCATGTTTGCAATATTGGTGCACTTTGGTCCTCCTTCAAAATTTTGCCTATTTTTTAACATTGATTTCATCCATAATTTATGTATGGAATGTTTAATTGTCATTTTATATATTTAGTAGAAATAATGACTCCATGTGAGAGATTGTGAGAAGAAAAACACCTTATTTTGTTTAAGTAAAAATCGTATTGCAGGTGAAGTCGAGAGATTCATCACGACGATTTCACGTGCAATAGTACAAATTTTTCTTTTCTTGCAATGTTATATGTTAAAATGTTCTTAGTTTAGCTGCAGTAATATTTCTACTGAACAGAACAAGATGTTCTTTTTCTCACCTTCTCTCAAATAGAGTTATTATTTCTATTAAATATATAAAAAGACGATGGAACATTCCTTACATAAAATTATGGACAAAATTAATGTTAAAAAATAGGCAAAAGTTTAGAGAAGGATCAAAAGTGCACCAATATTATAAACATGAAGGACTATTAGTGCTTCATGTGAAAATTCAAGAATGATTTTAAATCTTAACCCAAAGATGATGACTATTTTGGGCCTTCTCTTCTCTTACTACATAGAACAAACTATATGATTGAAGATGTTTTTGAATAGATAATGTGGACTTTCTTACTACACAAGACGAACTATATAATTGAAGAAATTATTTTTTGTAGAAATAATTAGAAATAATTAGTGCCTATGATGTTATACCACGTGTAATATAGCAAAGAATATGCCTTATTCGATTGCAGAGTTCTGAACATGAATATATATGGACCTCAATTGTTCATGTGGGGTTACTGGGCTTTCTGATTCATCTCACTAGTGGGACATTTTTTTAGGCCCATATAGTTATGTAAAATGAAACTTCATGGGAGTTGATTTTTGTAGCACTTCTTCGTTTCGGTCGAGTAGGATTAAAACAGAGTACATGAAGTGTAAGTTTAGTGTTGTATAATAGGAGGTGGATGGGGAAATGAGAATTGGTATACAAGTCGCTTGCAAGAAAGGAAGTTTCAAGTATCTTATCTTGGGTGTAGAATCCAAGAAAATGAAGAGATCAATGAAATATCGAATATCGTATTAGAGGAGGACGGATGCAATGAAGATTCATATTTGATGTCATATATAATAAGAACGTGTCACCAAGACTTAAAAGTAAATTCTATAGAACAATTAGTAACTTGTAAGAGCGATTATATCGCTCTCAACGTTATCATATCCCCTAACCAAATATCACGGACTCCTATAAATTGTTGCCACCATTGGACCCTTCCACAAATGAGGCAATTTTTTTTTAGTAAAAGAATAGTGAGATGTGTGGCACTAACGTAACAACAATAATAACTTACTGGTGTGATCGGATTAGTAAGGCGTGAAAAAGATAAAAAGTAGAAGATTATTTTTTATAAAATCTCGACTCAAGTAAACTTTATTAAAAATATTAGTATTATAAAATAGAAATACAATAACGAAAAGATCAGTGGTGGTCTCAAAATTTTCACTAAGCGCATTCAAAATTTGAAGAAATAGACACCTGAATTAATCGAATGATGTTCAATATCTACTATATATACATAAAAAATTATTCAAACCATATATAAATAGTATGATTTTTCGTCGATGGAGGTTCGAATAACTCCCTGAGCATAAGGTGGCTCCACCCCTTGAAAGGATTATTATGATAGTGAAATTAAGGAATGAACATTTGCAATAATCATGTTTTATTTTTTTTGGCAGTTTTAGATTGTAATCAAATGAGGGAATAAAGTTCATAAAAAGGCTAAAAATAAAGTTGAAAAAAACAACAATAACAAATAATAAGAAAACACAAACATGTGTAGCACTAGAGTGATTATGACAAACATATAATGTCACAAAAGATTGTTATCTTTATAAAATATTGAGAAAATTATTTCAACAAAAATTGTCTCCTAAGAGCTTGGACTTGATGGGCTTCCCAATTCACAATCATGGCCCAATAGTTATACAACACCTACAAACTCAATAGCTTTTGGAAATGGGTTAATATACACCGTCCGATTCAAAATAACAACACGTGTCCTCCATCGGCCCGAAAAGTGAGATTTCATTTTATTCTTCTTTTTCTTTTCCGACAAGATTTTATATTCCACAAAAAGATATCTTTTCTAATTATTCTCATTTTCTACAATCAAAAACCCTAATTTTGGCTGCTTGGAGTTCATTGAAGCTCAGTTCTTTGATTAATCCGTTTACTGTTTATCTGATTATTTTCAGGTTTGATTATGGCGGATGATACCGTTACCAACGGCGAGGTTTTCGACGACGCGCCGGTGGAGATCGCCGTTGACGAAACTACCGATGCTGCGTCGAAAACTTCTGCACTGAAACAGAAGATAGCGGCGCTTGAGCAAGAGAAAATTCAGTTTCTTCACGAGAATGATGTGATCAAACAGAGAATCGAGAAGCTCAAGAGTTCAATCGAGGAATCTCAGAGCGAAAAGGATGAGTTGTTGAAGAAGGTGGAGAATTTCGAGTCGGAGAACAAGGCTTTAGGATCAGTTGCCGCTAGAGCTGCTCAGCTGGAAGGGGAGGTATCTCAGCTGCAACATGATCTCATCACTGCTATGAATGGTCTACAAGGTTCTAATTCTGAGTTATCAGGGGTGAAATCGGCATTGGAGGGATTGAAGAGTACTGAAAATGAGAAGAGTGTGAAGCTGGAGGCTGTTGAGAGTGAAAAGAATCTGTTGTTGTCAAAATTGGAGAAGTTAGAAGCTAGTGGAAACAATCAGAAAGAAGAAGTTGAAGGGAAGGAAGAAGAAATTAGGGTTTTAAAGAAGCATATTGAGGAATTGAAGGGTACTGTTGTGAACAATGAGGAATGGGAAGAGGAGAAGAAGGAGCTTCATTTGGTGAAGGAGGAATTAGAGAAGAGGGTTAAGGAGATGGTTGAGAAAGCTGCAGAGTTGGAGAAGAAATTGAGGGAGAAGGAAAGGGTTATTGCTGAAAGATTTGTTGCTAGCAATATTAATGGCATTCCTGTTGGTGATGATCAAGTTGGTTTCCTTGGCGGTGATGTAAATTTGCCAGTGGTTGCTGCATCTTCAGTTGTTGCAGTTGCAGTGGTTGGCGTTATTTGCTATCTTCGATACGGACGAAAAGCGTAAACCCTTAGCTTGATCTTCAATAAGTTTGTCTTTTTGGTTTTGTGCTGATCAAGCTATGGAATTTACAGTTTTGATAGTTCTTTGGTTATGTTGGATTATTAGTTAACTTTTTTATCTTAATATCTTAATCAGATAATAGATTGCACTATTATGGTGCTGAAATATGTTTGTTTGCTAAGCTGGAGATAGTTGACAAACTTGTACTAGTGCTTCATTCTCATTTCCATGAAGCTGATTACAATGGTTTTGTAGTTTTTCCCTTGTGATGTAATTGCTTAAAAGAGTTGCCGAATCTGTATGTAATAATGTGTTTTCGTCGAATGATTGAATTGCTTAAACACTTTATTGATTTCTTCTTTCTCAATTCCAGGAGTTTGATTTACAATGGTTTTGTAGTTTTACCCTTGTGATGTAATTGCTTAAAGAGTTGCTGAATCTGTTTGTAATAATGTGTTTTCGTCGAATGATTGAATTGCTTAAACACTTTATGGATTGTTTCGTCTTTATAAAGTGTTGGAGCTATATCACTGTGAAGCAGGGTTGTTGCTATTGTAACACATGGCAACATTTTTCATAGTTTTCTTTCTGGTTTGATTTATAACTGATGTCCCTTCCTACAATTAGTTGCGTTGCAGTGGAAAAAACTAGAAAGATAATCCCTAATTTGGTAGTACACTCTCAATTGCTATGAACTTGCTACTCTAATTTCTTTAGGTGATGCTTTTCTTATGAAATGGTAGGTTTGTATTCATAAACAGTACCAAGAATGTGCAGTGTACATTGTGCCAAAAGTGTGAAGTATAGCCCTGTCTAAATCTATAGGAATTCTAGGAGCTCTAAGATAGATTGAAGCTTTATCTGAAAGTTCAATGCTACACCAAAAGTAAAACAAAAAATGTTGTTAGCGTTTTATCTTCTGGATGTGATTGTTCTTATCTTTAAAGCATCTCAAGTTCCTCTCTTTCCCAACTGTCCATCTACAAACTTGTATAGTGTTCCACCATGTTATCTTTCTTCTGTCTGAATCTGCCCTGATCCAGCTTCTCAAAATATCACTAGTGTTGTGTGGCTGGACCATTGGACTCCCAGAAAGTTCCAAAACAATTGCCAAATTTGATCTGTAATTGGACAGTAAAGAAAACGGTGCTTGTTGCGTCTCTTTCCCCATAATACCTCTTCTCTATAGGTTGCCATGGGTTTAAAAGGGATGTTTTCGCAACCAGCCGTCGTGGGTTATTACACCATCAGCTTGTTAACATAGACACCTGCAACTCTCTGATTTGGTCCTCTTTTCAATGTGGATTGAGGCTGGTTGTTTTGTTGATTCACACCTCAGTATTTGAACTGTATTTTAGTCTGGAAAGTGCTAAAACAAGACTTGTTATGTGGATGGGTGATGAGACGTGACGGTTCTCAACCCACTTCATTATGTAGCTTGATAATTCACTATATATACATGGTTTATGCAAGTTTATCCATCAATTTTCAGTGTTAGTTGTTGACTCCATCACTTTCAACCTTACCAGTTGTTAGCTCTGTTGCCTTTGAAATGCACCTTAGCTACAGCTTAGGCCTATGTGGCTCTGTTGTGAAGAGTTATCTTATCCCATTTTTGTGGTGGTACTATAACCTCCTCTACTATTAAAGATGTGGTCTACTAACCACTTCAGATGAATACCAACATAGTTTAGGGTTCAAATCTCACCAGAGACAAGAATGCTGAAGGATATCTTTTCATATGTCTAAGTTTTGATGCGCGATGTTACCTCGATATCATATTGACCATATTTATATTTGCTGTTAGTGTCCAATTATACAATGGGACCTTCTTATTTCAGTTTTAGAAACTGATCAATCCCTTAACATCTTGAAAGTGACACCAATCTGAGTTGACCTACATATGTGAGCCAAATCTAAGTTTCATCAAAAGCAACAAATCATGCTCAATGTAATTCTACGGGTGAGGTTCTGTGGAGGATAATGTGTACGTAAACCTTGAGGAGGATAATGTTTACTCCAATTTCCATCAAAAGCAACAACAACAAAAAGAAGAAATTACATATAATGTTTACAATTACTATATGATTTACGCTACATATATTGACATACATCCTGAGTCCTAGATTAATGTACAATAATGCATGCGATTTGAGCTTACATATATTGACATTTAAAATACAAATAGTGCATAAAGTCACTGTATGCTATTGACTGAAAATACAAAAAAATAAAATCCCCCCTTGGCCTAAAACAGTATTACTTGTCACATTTTTTTTTATCTTCACGTTCCTTAAAAAATTACTCCACGTTTTGACAATAATACACTTATATTTTTAATTTTTTTTAGAATGTTAATCTCACTTCATTAAATAAAATTGAAATATGTGTATATACTTGTCTTAGATTTTCTATACTAACTAGTCAGTATTCTTTTTTTGTTTTCTTATGAGAATATAATTATTTTCAACATAGCGACAAATAAAAATTGTAACGTAAAACAAAAGAGTGTGAAGAATGTGAATAAGCCTTTTCCTCGTAAATCGTGCAGATGTAGAAAATAGAGACATTGTGCTCTTTAAAGAAGAAGACAAATGAACAGAGCCTTCTTCTTCTTTTCTCTGTGAAAATGCAAATTTCTCACTCATTGTGAATCTGTGTTTGTATCATCAGGGCCATGGCATTGCTACTACATTTTCTCCCAAGGTATTCTTTTCTTCTTCTTTAGGTTGATACAATCATTAATTGATCGAGCTTTTCTTCAGCAATTTTCATTTGGGTCTTTTTGTTTTGCTGTTAAGTTTCTCAAAAATGATTCTTTTTGCTTATATCACAGTTCGTTCTTGATATCACTTACTTCAATCAATACGGAAAGATTGATTTTTTAACCTCTAGTCTGTAGAATTAAAATAGTATCTTTACATTATTCTACTTGTATAATGATTCAAATTTTCTGAAGTAATGTGTTTTTTTTATCGTTTGATCGTCTTGCTAATTTCGTAATGTTTTTTTGTAAATGGAGAATCAATTTTCAACATTGATTTTCTTATGTTCTTGTATTTTCCAATTAGAATTCTTTAGTTAAGCCATTATCTACTGTGTATAATTGAAGCCAAAAAGATATGTTATGTGTGATGACAATCCATTTGTGCACAACTGAGATACATGCGCTTAGCTCAATTTAAAATGGGAGATGCAGGGCCGGCTTTATAATCTGGTGCGTGTATAGATGGAGGAGCTAGATGTGTAATATAAATTATATGGTTGGGAGATCCTTCACGAAGCATAAGTAGTATATACTGGATGGAGATTCCTGTTTTGTTGTCTTCTTCTCGATCCATTTTGGTGAGATGAAGTGGAGAACTATGGAGGGAGTAGATGCATCATATAGAAGAGATGGTTGGATATCTCGTCTATTGGAGATCACTTTTTCTGTTCTTCCTTCTCTATCCGTCTTGAAGAGGAGAATAATCTAATTGGAGATGGTGCTAGACCCTAGGGGTCTTACATACAACCTAAAGCCAAAGGAAAAAGGCTGTGTTTCGTATTTTTCGTATGATATAAAAAATATCATGTAAGATAATTGTTGGTTTTTCAGTAGGAGGAACCTGGAAAACTTGGGAGTGATTTTGACCAAGTTAAAATGAAGCTTTGAACTAGTTATACCGCTGATAGCTTCTCCTGCAATGGATCGGAGACCAGTACTTTATGTCTGCTTGATCAAATTTGTCCGTGTAATTTGAAAATGAAGTGTTCCTTCTCAAATGTCGATATCCCTATAATGTTTAGACCTGATGTCATTCCTTATTTGTTTTCTACTTCCGCAGGCCAAGTAGAGAAGTAGGTCTAATGCTTGCTTCAGGAGTTTTGAGGTGTTCAACTGCAAAACCAGGTTGAATTTACTGGTCCTTTTGCTTTCCTGAAGCATGTGAACCCTGAACTCGTAAGTACATTGTACTTAATTAGGGAATGAAGCCATCGGTCCGCATAGCATATAAATCTTTGTATTATATTTTGACAAAATCCATTGTGGGATTCACAGAGAAGAAGATTTCTTTTGCATATTGAAGCTATTCCAGTTTATCTTTTTCTGAATTTTATCCTATCTATTCAAATTCAGTCGAGAATCAATGCTCAATTAGCTTTCCGGTGTGTGATCAGTGCAAAAGCATAGTTTGGTATTTTACATTTAACTCTGAATTACTTCTTCTTTTCAATTCATTCTAGATTTGGTTTCTCCTACGAGACATCTGATTGAAAATGAAAAACATTGTTATTTCTATTTCATGATTACAAAATGAATAAAGAATATATTGCTTACACAGACAATTTTACACTATGTTCTTTTTCCCTTGATACCCCCAAACAAAATTAAAGAATGGAAAAGTAAAACGAAGATAATTTTACATCCATAGACTATATCCGTCTTAGAACCTTGAACGCTTGCATTCAGGAGAAAAGCCTTGAGAGAATCTATTAGCATCCGCACAGTAATTGTAGATCATGTACTTCTGCTGAACCCATCGTACCCTATTTCTGCCATTAGCATTCAGTTGCTGAGTTTGCCATGTCTGATCATTGTTTACTGACTCAGTCTTAGAACCTCCACAAGATGAAGTAGATGTAGCATTTGACCAAACACAAGCATTTGTATTGAAATTCCTGTAAGAAGCTGTAAACGGAGCCATAGACCAGTCCGTCTTCACCCGTCCTCCTTGTGTTGCCCAGTCATCAGCATTCCATAAACTCGCATAAACTCTCATTGCTTGATTCTTCGGGAATGCAACACCAAGTGCTTCATGGTTGTTGAACACTCTTATTGGGATATTATCCACCAAAAATCTGAACAATTAGAAAAATCCAAAACGTCAGACATGAACACTAACACTAAGTAACTATTTGTAATTGTTTAGACATTTTTATTTTGTAACGTACATGATTCGTTGAGAATTCCAAACAATAGAGTAGGTGTGGAACGACGAGGTGGGATCGAACCAGAGGCGAAACTGTTGTTCTTTGTTGCCTTTTCCTTGAGAGTAAACATTGGTATGAACCGTGTAAGGTTGTCCTGATGAATTTCCTAGAAACTCAAAATCAATTTCATCGTGCCCTGCTCCTTGAGAAGACAACTGCAAATTACACCCAAAAAAACGCTTGAGTGGACATGGTTTTTTTTTGTTAATTAGTTATAGTAGGAATACGAAAACTGTGTTACTACTTACGTAGAATGTGGTGACAGTGCCAGCAGAATTTCCAGGTACGAGTTTGAGCTGCATATCGAACCTTCCAAATAAATATTCATTCTTAGACTGAAATCCGGAACCTGAAATTTTGTCAAGGGACAAGGCGAGAAGGCGCCCTCCATCTTGTATCTGAGCGCGCTGGTCACCAAATGTGACGGTTGTGTCTTGGTAGAAATTATCAGCCCAAACAGGGGATAACAAGACAAGTGCAAGAAGAGAAAGCTGCAGCAACATTATAGAAAATTAGAGTAGTGATTTAAATTAGAATTTGTTTTGTGAATGTGTGTGTTTTGAGATTAGGAGGATATTATATATAGTAGAGTTTGATAGAGGGAGGAGGAAGTATTAGCTGTGAATTGAAATGTAACGCGTTTGTTTGGTTTCGAAAGTATGGGTGGGGATAGCAATAACCCAAACGGAAAAAATTGGCATTATTTCTACAGTTCTACTACCTAACGCGCTAATTGTATCTTCCTTTTCCTTCTTTGTTCGGAGGGGTCCGCCCTTGGGATATTGGGTTTATAACTCAGTATTTTTAAAGTGAAGCATAAATTTATAACTAAAAAAAATAATTTAATAATAAAGAAGACTTTTGAATTTTGTGCCCTTAAGCATGTATGGTGAAAAGTTGAAATTAAAAAATTGTTTTATGATTTAATCTGTATTTATGAAAAAGTAATTTTTGATCAATATATATAATATAATTTTCTCTATCAAAGATATAATTTTTCGTTGAAGGGTGTTCAATCAACCACTCTTCATCGTGTCAAAACATTCGTGCAAACATGAGAACATAGCAACAACTACTTTTGAACAACATAGACAAGATTTTTGGCTCTTTCTGTGGTCCAACATCTTCCTCATTCTTTCCAGAGTTATAAATAGACTGAATTGAAGTATGAGCAATATAATACTCCCTCCGTCCCTATTTAGTTGTCCATATTTTCTCTTTTAGTTGTCCCTATTTAGTTGTCTATTTTGACAAATCAAGAAAGGACAACAAATTTTTTCCTATTATACCCTTATTTAAAGTGAAAAGTTGTCATAAATAAACTAGATAAACTTATGAACTTTCCAACATTGATTAGTTATCTTGAGTGAATTTATTTTGGAAGTAAATTGTACTATAAGGGTAAAATTGTAACTTTACTATGCTAATCATTGTTGCCTTAATCTGTGTGTCATTTCTAAAGTGGACAACTAAATAGGGACGGAGGGAGTATCCTTTAGACCTTTCATCAAAGGAAGAGCTTATGTGAAGGGATGTGAAGGTGTTAAAACGTTAAATTTATATTCCTTAAAGCCAAAATTTGACCTACATACATGGTGTAATTTTCCGCCTAAGGGTGGATGTAGCTCCACCCATGGTAAAGTGGGGTGTTGAATTGTCCCATACAGAGAATTTGATTTTTTTTATGATCTTGAACAATATTCATCTCTTGATTAGCTTTTGGGAATGAGTTTAACCTAAAGTTTTCTATCAATGATGTATATTAGAGTTGGATCGGTTCAAAATGTGAGTATGTGGGTGGTGGGGTGGTGTTGTGTTGAATTGTCCCACATCAATGGGTGTGAGGCAATTTATCTTTTTATTGCAAGATCGGAGATGCACATACAAAATTTAATACTAGCACGACTCACCTACAAATCCGCCAAACAATAGTACAAATAGGAGAAGGCAGCAGTACAATGCGGACCATTAGTTGTCAAGTGGACTACAAACTGAACACGTTACAAGGCTGAGCCCATCGGCAACCACTTAAAGTTGACGCCAATTTTCACTTAAAACACTTTAACTAGACTTTGTTCATTTTAGACACCTTATGTTAGGTTTCGCTGTGTCATTTTGACACTTTTTATTGATATGAAAAAATGAGTGTAATACACTTGTTAATAGCACGTGAGAGACTTATTTAGCCTAATTTTTTTTTATCTTTTTCTTCCCCATTTTTCAACCTTTACCTCTTCACTTATTTCCCCAAACATAAAATCCTTCAAATTGACGTCAAATTTTTTTATTCGGATTTTTTCTTTAGTTGCAATAGTCCAATTGAAAGAAGATGGGTTCATTTTATAGTTAAAAATATAATTACATATCAATGTTGCAAGCTAAATCTTAATTTCTATTTTTAAAGAATGAAGAATAAAATTAAGTAAAAAGGAAGAAAGAAAAAATCTGCAATCATGACTTTAGCTTATTCAGCCATTATAACTTCTCAAATTTCATATTTATACTTTTAAACAGCAAATCAAATCAAGAAATGGGAGGGAGTGCGGCGAAGAAGATGATGAAAACGGAGTGGGTATTGTGACAATGACCATGAAAATGGAGGAACGAACAAGATAACCGTGTGGAATGGGAATGGTGGAAAAGACAATAAAAATACAAATTTAATGAAAAAGATAACTGTGTGGTGGTGGAGATGGGGAAAGAGATAATGAAAAGGGAGAAATTTGATAGAGAAGATGTATGGGGTTGAGGGGTGGGAGGGAATCATTTTTCTTTTAATTGGTCAAAATATCCCTTCAATCTATTTTGAACTTTAATTTTTTTCTCTCTTTAATTTAGTTTTGTGTATAATGTTATGGCTTTAAAATGAGTTGGCATGATATAATTGGTCATTTAATCCGGTTGGACACGTTTGTTCAACACACGCATAGAGTCAATAGGAGATTGTGAAAAAAAGTGTCAAAATGACACAACAGATCTTGACATAAGGTGTTTAAAATGAACAAAACTTATTTAAAGTGTTTAAGTGAAAATTGATGTCAACTTTAAGTGGTCACCGATGGGTTCAGCCCACGTTACAACAATATGCTTTTATTAACAATTTAACCCCTATATATTCACTCACCCAAATTTATATGCTAGCACTAAAACTCCTCTAAATTAGTATTTCTCTATTTATATATTCACTTCTTTGATTTCTGCTCCTTGTTGACTTGAGAATATTTATATTACTTTGCAGAAATGGCCAAAATTGCAAGAGTGCAATTAAAATCAGTTGCTAAAGAATGGGGAATTTTGTTGTTGGATTGTTGATTGACGGTGACAATGTCGGGTAGTATTTTGTGTAGTGGGAATGAGAAAATGTTGTACGTTAAAACTAGGCATGAACAGTGCCATGATTATTAGGATTTGACGTTCCTTAATCCTTACTACTAAAATTTACTTGAATGAAAATATTGAAATAAACTGTAAGCAACAACTTCAAGTATTATATAAGAATATTAACTCAAATCCTAAATGATTTAAAAATAAACAAATTAACGTTGAATAACGATTTTGGAAATAATAATTATAACCCAAAAAGGTTTAGGGTTTAGGATTTAAAATAATTTTGGAAATAAATAATCATAACCCAAAAAGGTTTAGGATTTAGGATTTTAAATAATTTTGGAAACAAATAATCATAACCAGTTCAAGATTTTAAATAATTTTGGAAACAAATAATCATAGCCCTAAACGGTTTAGGGTCCAGGATTTTAAATAATTTTGAAATTAAATAATCATAACCTTATAAGATTTAGATACGAGTATAGTACTTAATTTACAAAATATGAAAATAATTGATTTTTTAGTTGATAATCATATGGTCAATGCAAAAGGCTTTGGGCTAATTAGTTCATAACTAAGGAACTATTGTAATTAGGCGTCTTGATAGTTGTAACATATTAGAAGCAAAATTGTCACTTTAGAATTTAATTCACACAGTAAGAAGGTACATTGGCTGTACTGGTGAGTTTTGAGCTACATTGTCTATTCCAGTTTCTATTTTCAGAGTACTTTGTCCAGGGCAAGTGTAACAGCCAGATAGCGAACGATCACTCAGCAATGAGAAAGCGACCGGGAATGAGTACCTATCCCTTATGGGAATCGAACGTGTGCCTTCGACATGAAAAATGATGTACTAACCACCGGACGAAAGGGACCAAAAAACTATCTTCATGTTGACCTTTGCCTGATTGACATTTTGTAATCCAAGTGAGATCAATGTCTTGGTAAAAGGGTTTCCAGCTCAAGAAATCATTAGAGATGGTAAGAGATGAAAAATACAATAACATACCCAGTGAAATCCCACAAATGAGATTTAGAGAGGTTAATGTACGCAAATCTTACCACTATCTCACAAAGGACATGCTTGTCAGGAAAACGATTCATTATTATTTCTATTTCATGATTACAAAAAGAATAAAGAATATATTGCACACAAATAATTACACTATGTTCTTCTTTCCCCTGATATCCCAGACCAAAATTAAAGAATAGAAAAGTGAAACAAACATAATTTTACATTCATAGACTATATCCTTAGAACCTTGAACGCTTGCATTCAGGAGAAAAGCCTTGAGAGAACCTATTAGCATCTGCACAGTAATTGTAGATCATGTACTTCTGCTGAACCCATCGTAGCCTATTTCTGCCATTAGCATTCAGTTGCTGAGTTTGCCATGTCTGATCATTGTTTACTGACTCAGTCTTAGAACCTCCACAAGATGAAGTAGATGTAGCAGCTGACCAAACACAAGCATTTGTATTGAAATTCCTGTAAGAAGCTGTAAACGGAGCCATAGACCAGTCCGTCTTCACCCGTCCTCCTTGTGTTGCCCAGTCATCAGCATTCCATAAACTCGCGTAAACTCTCATTGCTTGATTCTTCGGGAATGCAACACCAAGTGCTTCGTGGTTGTTGAACACTCTTATTGGGATATTATCCACCAAAAATCTGAACAATTAGAAAAAAACAAAATGTCAGACATGAATACTAACACTAAGTAACTATTTGTAATTGTTTTGTAACGTACATGATGCGTTGAGAGTTCCAAACAATAGAGTAAGTGTGGAACGACGAAGTTGGATCAAACCAGAGGCGGAATTGTTGTTCTTTATTGCCTTTTCCTTGAGAGTAAACATTGGTATGAACCGTGTAAGGTTGTCCTGATGAATTTCCTAGAAACTCAAAATCAATTTCATCGTGCCCTGCTCCTTGAGAAGACAACTGCAAATTGGACAAAAAAAATACTTCAGTGGACATGTTTTTTTTGTTAATTATTTATAATAGGAATACGAAAACTGTGTTATTACTTGCGTAGAATGTGGTGACAGTACCAGCAGAATTTCCAGGTACGAGTTTGAGCTGCATATCGAACCTTCCGAATAAATACTCATTCTTAGACTGAAATCCAGAACCTGAAATTTTGTCAAGGGACAAGGCGAGAAGGCGCCCTCCATCTTGTATCTGAGCGCGCTGGTCACCAAATGTGACCGTCGCGTCTTGGTAGAAATTATCAGCCCAAACAGGGGATAGTAAGACAAGCGCAAGCACAGATAGCTGCAGCAACATTATAGAAAATTAGAGTAGTGATTTAAATTAGAATTTGTTTTGTGAATGTGTGTGTTTTGAGATTGAGACACAAAGGAAGATATTATATATAGTAAGAATTTGATAGAGGGAGGAAGAAGAATGGAAGAAGGGGAATTTTGAATAAAATGTAGGAAATAGCTGTGAATTGAAATGTAAAGCGTTTGTTTGGAGATATTAAGGGGCAGCGGTTTCGGAAGTATGGTGGGTGGGGACAGCTATTAGATCCGTACGGGTTGGGTGACACCAATAACCCAAAAGGAAAAAATTGACATTATTCTACCTAACACACTATATCGGGTTCATAATTTAGTATTTTTAAAGCGGAGCATAAATTTATATTTTTAAATCTTATGATTATTAAAAATAAAAGATATGTTGAATGTAACAAATCTTAAATATGTTATGTAAAAAAATTATTAAATAAATTAAATCAGAGGATATAATAAATATGAAGAAATAATTTTAAATTATAGTTGCGAGTAAGTACTAGTAACTTTAAAGGTTAAATCCATTGACTTTAAATTTTGAATCCGTAGTTGAATATTCGCGTTCTAATATCTAGGTGCGTGCCGCATATAATCTAAACTATTCAAACATTCTAGATCTACAAAGGAATTAAAGATAAAGAAATTTTGTACCGATGCAAAATCATGTTTTTTGGTTTCAGAATTGACCACAATGTCGGTGATATGGGTCCGACTTTATTATTTTTTGTCAAAACCAAAATTTACTCCTTTCTTATTTAAAAACAATTTTTTACTTTTTAAACTCATTTTCAATATATCAAGAAATCCCCTACTTTGATTACTATATATAACATAAATAAATTTCACATTCTCTTAAGATATTACAATAAAGAGAAGAGATACAGTGAAATGAATGAAATCCCTTCATCATTAACTAAAAAATTTAAGTTAAAGCCTTAGAAATGAAAAGCCTCGGGTACTAGCTTATGTAATTTGTGAGCACAGTTCTTGGTAGGGTTATCTAGCTTTTCCTTGATTACAACTTCAAAATATATAAATACTTAGCAAAAATTATGTAGTCAATAAATTCATTGAGCTTGTCGTATTTTAAGTAATGTCGATATTATAAATTTAGTTGTGACTGTTTGAATCAGCCCCGACCCAATATCACATAACTAGTTATTGAACCAAGAAGAAGCAATAGAACGGAAGGGTCTTCACAAAGGTTAAAGGTTAATTTGGAACACAAGCTCAATTAGTTACTAGCTAAAAGGACCCTGGATGATAGAACTGTGATTACAAGCTTATATGAACTGCAATTTTTTAAAAATTGATTAGAGAGCTTCATATGCTAATATTGCTTTGCGTTATATTAATAGGAGTAAAATATAATAGTAGTTCTACTACAAAAGTTTTGGCGAACGAACATTGACGCCTATTTTATGTTGGTCTTTAATTTTTTATCTTAAGATAAATAATTTTTTTGTAGAGCATAACCTTTTATTTCTTACATAATAATATTCCACAAGTTATGCTCCGTACCTTTAAAGAACTTATACTTTACTAGACATAAATTCAATTGCTAAAGACAAAAATTATAGACCAAGCCATTAAAACGAAAATCATGCAATTTTTGCTCCCATTAGAACTCATTAAAGGGAACAGAAAATTCATTAATTTAAATAAAGGGATTGACGGTATTCTCCCACTACAAATGTATAAACTTGAATAGTACATATATCATTTAATCAAAGAAAATAAATAAACAACCTTTTATTGGTAGTACAACAAAACAAAACAATAAAGAATTTCACACACAAAAACAATCAATCCCATAACCAACGTACATATTCATCGAGTTTCGAACCTTAGATAATTAATTAATTAAATTCGATTTCTTAAAACCTCGATCGTTTACACTCTTGTGAATATCCTTGAGGAAACCTCTTAGAATCCTCGCAATAATTATAAACCATATGTTTGCTCTGTACCCATCGGACCCTGTTCCGACCCTTAGCATCAAGCTCATGTGTCTCCCACGGCTTAGCATTGTTCGCGGAATCAGTGGACCGTGAGGCACATGAGGAAGCGCCTGATTTAACGACGCAGCCATCAATATTGATGTTCCTATAAGTGGCGGTAAATGGTGCTTGTGTCCAATTAGTTTTGACTCTACCTCCTTGTGTAGCCCATTCATCAGCATTCCATAAACTACAATAGACTTTCATTGGTTGACTTTTGGGGTATGCAATTCCAATGCTTTCATGGTTGTTGTATACTCTAATTGGAATCTCATCCACCAAGAACCTGATTTTTATCATAATCAAACATGTGAGTAACTAACAAGGTAAAAATGTCATTCTAGTAGGAGCGACGGAGCCAGGATTATCATTAAGAAGATCAAAATATGAATAAGTAAACACACAAAGTTGAAGGAGTTCAGTATTTACTGTATATACATAAAAATATAGTTTTAACCATATATAAATAAATAGTGTAATCCTAATGCCCTAAATCTAAGTTTGCTCAGCCCTCTTATGTATTCCATTTGTTTCAATTTATATGATACATAGACAGATCTGAAATTTGAAATTAATAAATTTGTATAGATATCTCAAATCAATATAAAATAATTGGAGTTATAATTAACTATTATTTATTATATTTAGTAAAAAAAAACTGTTGGATTCACATGAACTGATAGGTGATCGACACTCAAAATCTAGATCCACCCTTGATGTGGAGCAATTTGATTGTGACAGAGTTTAAGAACAAGATTTTTGAAACTAGTAATCTCAAATATACTTAATAAATATTGTGTAGCTATAAATCTCCCCAGGAAGAAACATGAGTTTCCATGGACGTCTTGTTGAGCCAATTTTTAATGGATTTTGTCCATTGTAAATTCACTTTTTTAGTAGCGACCTTTGAAACATGCCATTTTAAATATACCCTATTATTTGTGTGACTATAAATTTGTGTCATGAATGGGTAAATGAAAAGTTCAGATAAATATCTTCAGTAGAAATATATCATTCTTTTCGAAAAAAATTTATGTATAAGTATAGCGCCTTACACTATGCGGTTAGCGTTCCACACAATGGTGTAAGTGTGAAATGCTGTAGTTGGATCGAACCAAAGGTGAAATTGTTGTTCTTTGTTTCCTTTTCCTTGAGAATAAACATTGGTGTGCACTGTATAAGGCTCACCAGTCACATTTCCCAAGAACTCGAAATCGATCTCATCGTGCCCTTCTCCTTGTGACGATAGCTATAAAAATATTTTTAAACGTATCAGTTATTTACAATCGACTAATCCAAAATGATTCAAGAGAAAAAAAAGTTGAATCATGACTTACAAAGAAGGTGGTGACAGTGCCAGCAGAGTTTTTAGGGACGAATTTGATTTGCATGTCGAATCTTCCATAGAGATATTCATTTTTCGATTGAAAACCCGACCCGGATAATTTGTCAAGTGACAAAGAGAGACCTTTACCTCCATCTAATATTTTACCACGTCCATCACCCCAAGTGATTTCTGTAAGGTCATTAAAATTACCAGCAGCTAATACAGCCACTAAACTGCCCATTAATACAATGGAAATTAGAAGTAAATGAGAATTAGCCATTTTTTTTTTCAAATTAGCTGAAATATTATTGTTGAAGAGAAATAATGTTGATTTTTAGATTGGTTTAGGAGTCTTTTTATAGGTGGACTATAGAGGGGGGAATTATTAATTATTAATTATTTATTCCTCTATGAACATGATAGGAAAATGGGCAATTGGGCAACAATAATTATTGAGCTGGAAATTAAATTAATACTTTAATTTATTCATAATCATCATTGCAAGCTAGAATAATTGTTTGCGCGTTAAATCAGTTTTTGATGATGGATTATTATATGGTTATATTATCGTGTTAGATTCAGGATTTCCTCTAAGAAAATTAAAAATATAAAGAAGTAAACACATCATGAAGAAGTTAAAAAGTGTTCAACATTTGCTATATATTCATAAAAATAGTTTTAATTATTTATAAGTAGTGTAATTCTTTTTTATCAAAAGGTGTTTGGATGAACCCCTTGATCTTATCTGGCTACGCCCTAACTATAATATTCTAATTTAAATGACCTCATCTGAACATACATTTTCCCGTTGTGAATTATAGTAGTCGTTACCTATTATGATACAGCTATTATTATAATATGAAAATGTCATGTGAATACGTGAGGTTTTTCCATATTGTTTTAGCTTAAAATTAAAGCACTTATGTTCCATGAAGAATAATTTTGTAATGTTTGTGGTATTAAGGAAAGTCCCTTTGCAATTTAGCTAATATTTACCTGTCGGAGGCAGTACCCAAATCTTAGTCAGATATATATTATTATTTTTAATTTTATTTTATGTTTACCACTTAAATTTTATCTCTATATTTAAAAGTTATGCAAATATGAATCTCAAAAACTTATTCTTCCGGATAATGTTAGATTAGATCTAATGTTTGCTCAATCGATTGTCGTTTGATGTTCGTAATGACTTGCTAATTGCTATATTCTAGATGGTTGTCTAACATTTTACATAAGATTTTTAGTTTGTTCAAAAGAAATATTTAGATCACAGTCTAAAAGATTCAGAGAAAGGTCATTTACTAAATAGTTATTTCCTAAAAAGAATATTTGGTAGCTTTTGATGTGAGGAAGTATTTTCTCCTAACAAATGATATCAGAAGTTGGACGGGAGATTAACATTGGGTAACACCAACGTATGAGTCGGAGTCATAATCGAATATGATACTTGCTTCGTGAGCTTAATTAAGAAATAAAGCTACCCATGCTATTAACTATAAATAGCATTCGATTGATATTGATAAAACACTTGATCCTAACAAGAACTCATTATTGGTTAATGTTTATTTTATCTGAAAAAAACTTAATATCTATCAAAAGATTTATCTCTAGTCTTATATAAATATATTTTACACTATGAATACAAATAACTTAAACTCAATTTTATTAACCTAATTAAATTAATTAAAGAACTTTATTTACACTTGATGGATATAAATGGGTTGAAGGATAAACAGAAAAAATATGCAATCTAATTATTTTTGTTAAATAAATTATCAACTTGATTAATTAAGAAGAACATATGGAAACATCCCTAAGCATGCTGCCATGAGATGACCATACAGTTCCTACCTATACCAAAACATCATATTTTTAAAACTAATTAAATAGTTAATTAATATTAAAGATATATAGTTTTGAAGCATAATTAATTAATAGTGCATAGCTCAATAAGTATTTAAAATTGTGACAATTAATTAATGGGGTTAGCAAGTCTTTTTCATTCTTCATTGCTACATGTTCATTTCATTGCCTCCAACATGGAAACTTCATTAATTCAAGTCATGTGTACCAAACATTATTATCATTAATAAACAATTAGTAATTGACTTTTTTCCTCCATAACGATAATTAATTTTTCCCATCAAGAAAATTACATGTGAATCCATTTAGGCATATTTTTTTTTAAAATAAAAATCATTGGCCATCATAAAATTAATATTATGAAGTTTGACTTATTGATTCAAATTAAATAATCAATATCAACGTTCACTATAACTCGATATATATTTCACCGTTCTTCTTTTGACATTTAAGTGCTTAGAGTTGTCAATACACACACATAAACTGATACACTTTTCTTTTAAATTAATTTTAAAAAATAATAAGTAATACTCATCCTTTAATTTATTTTATTCGTCATGTTTTTGATTACAAATTTTAAATAATTTAATATCTACACAAAATATATAATTTGCAAACATGTATTCTGCTAGCTAGCTCAAAATAGGAAAATAGAATAAGGTCCAAGAAGGTTGATGACAAAATAAGGGAAACCACATGACTTTTTTTTTGTTGAAAAGGAGTTTATTTATTCATAAATATGTAATATGCATCCATACAAGACCGGTGGCTTGAAGCATTACAAACATCTGAAATACTTGTTAAGTTATCAAGTAAAGTAAACTATCCGATAATAAAAGAGGCATGTCATGCCTAGCAAAAGTTGCTCCCTCCTTGTTAGTATTATTATTAGTAACTCTCCTATTATCATATTCTTCGATTTTAATATTATCATAATCTTCGATTTTATTATTATGTGTTGTTTTCTTTGCTTCACTTATCCTAATATTTGTGGTTGCAATTTTTTTCTGTATGGTTTCTTCACTAGTATTTCCTCTCCTGCTGATTTTGGTATGCTTTACTTGACTGAGGGTTTATACTCTATCGGAAACAACCTATGTACTTTCACAAGGTATGTGTAAAGTCTGCGTACATAACATCACTTTTAGATCTCACTTGTGAAATTACAATCAATATGTAGTATCTAAATATGTAGGGATGTGATCCAAATTATTTTCGTCAGTATCATTAATTAGTCTTATCTATAATTCATGTAATCCAATATAGCCTGAAATTCTTTTTAATTCAGTTTCAGTTTCCATTTAGTGATATGATAAAACATATACCAAAGGAGAATACATTAAAGACTTGTAATAATTTGTAAATTCTAAATTACAAACTTAGCTAATATTAAAGGCAAACCTCGAATAACAGAAGAAGAAAGTGAGTCGTCTCACAAGAAAATAATTTTGAAGAAGCAAAGATAATAAGCCAATCTTAATTAACGGAACAAGCTAAACTAATAAAATTTTATGGATGACTCCATGATGGTCTTATAAACATAGCAAAAAACGAAAAACGACGCTTCAGACAAAAAATAGATCAATCTAACTCAAAGTTTTTGAACAAAATTAAATCAACATGTCCTATTATTGTATGGGCTAGCTAGCTCTCCTATACATATAATAAATACATAAATTTTCACGAGTCCATCTTTATACGTTTGGGTCCACTATTTTGCAAAAAAAAAAGAAAAAGAAAAAGGAGAAACTACATAAACTTCATATTCATATCTACAATTATTACCTATATTTTTAGAATATTATGTATGTTACAACTAATTAATAGTTTCATATCATATATTGAGGAAGATACACCTAGATACACGTATTCTTGCTACAAGATACATTAACCTAGAGAGAGACGAGTGAGATGGAGGGAGGTGAGCGAGATAGTAGTGTATCCAAGATACATGCGAATCACACTAGATACACACTAGATACGCGTATATGTATGTATTTGATGTGATTCACATGTATCTGATATACTAGATACATAGGAGAGTTTGCGAGCAAGATGGGAGGGAGGCGAGTGAGATTTGTTTTGTATCAAGATACATGTGAATCCACTCGTATACGATGTATTTAGAACAAATTATATCTAATTTGACCCATGTATCTCACGTATTTGAATGCACTAAAATCTAGTAAGATTTGTAATATCACAAACTAAAGTGTATCTAAGTAAATAAGTCCTAAACTAGTGGAAATTCTGTTAGTTTACCTAAAAAAATCCCTTATACAATTAATATTTGTTGTGTAACTTATAAAATAAAACTTTTCATAATCGAGTGACATTATTTCGCCTTTCAATATGAGTTCATCAACCGACCCTAAATACCGAAATGAGTTGGATCTATGGACTATGAGGTGGGCCATCCTCAAATAGCCCAAAAACATGATTTGGTGAAACATCATTGATTTTGTCCTATTTCTTGTATGGTTAATCTTCTAAACCATAAAGAGAATGGAGATTTCCAGCAGTAAACATGAACTTACACTTTGCTGTAATCGATGAATACAATTATTATTATATATAAACCCATAGCCATACCAGATTTAAGCTCTGATTATGCAGTCTACCTCAATTACTCCACTCCATACTTACCCAATTCTTAGCCATTTTCACTCTATTAATCTCAACAAGAACAAGAACAAGAAAAGTTTGAAACTTTCTCTCAGAACATCAAAGTGTTGTTGTTTCACTCTCAGTTCTACACATAGTTGCAGCAAAGACCAAGAAAAACCCCAAAACAACAGCTACAGTATCGACCCAGATCGACAGAAGAACCCCATAATAAATTGGGAAGAATTTTATTCTTCTATTCAAGAACAAGAAGAGAGAACCCAGTATAACGAGGAGGAGGAGGAAGTGCCGGAATTTGAGCTTCCAGATCATTCAGGCATTAGAACAAACATGTGGTGGACAGACTTGAAAGCTGCATTGGGTCAGAGGATTAATGTTGAGGGGATTGTTTCTTCATTAGGGGTTTTCTCTAAAGACAAGCATTTGGCGATCCCACATGTTAATGTGCCGGATATAAGGTATATTGATTGGGCTGAGCTAAAGAAAAGAGGGTTTGAAGGTGTGGTGTTTGATAAGGATAATACCATTACTGTTCCTTATTCTTTGAGCTTGTGGTCTCCTTTAGCTTCTTCTATTGATCAGTGCAAATCTCTGTTTGGTAACAATATTGCAGTGTATAGCAACTCAGCAGGTAATTCGGGTTTTCGTGATTGGTTTGATTTCCTTTTTAGGTTTGAAGAATATTTGTCTCAGTATTTTTTTATTTGTGAATTTGTAGGATTAGATGAATATGACCCTGATGGTAGAAAAGCCAGAATTCTCGAACGTGCAATTGGAATTAAAGTTATTAAGCATGGTAAGTTGAATTTGCTATTTCAAATCCGCAGTAATCTATTATGTGTTGTGTAACAAGAATAAACAATGCTAAATCAAACAATTGAGAAATTTATATGAATATTACTTGCATTACTTGCGTCTTGCAGTAAAGTTGTTGTCTTGAGACCAAGAGGTCATGAGTTCGAGTTGTGGAAACAGTCTCTTGCAGAAATGTAGGGTAAAACTGCGTACAATAGACCATTGTGGTCCGGCTCTTCCCTGAATCCTGCACATAGCAGGAACTTAATGTGCTGGGCTGTCCTCTTTTAAGTATGAGTTAATGCTATTTGTAATTGCTACTTTCTTTATCTGTATATTTTAGGGGTGAAGAAGCCAGCTGGAACAGCTGAAGAAATTGAAAAGCAATTTGGTTGTGAATCGTCAAGACTTATTATGGTACATTTTGGTTCTTTCAATTGTTTTTGCAAGTTCTCCTTCCTATCTAAGTCGACCGTCCTTGTTGTGTCCTTCACAGGTGGGTGATAGGCCATTTACAGACATAGTTTATGGTAACAGAAATGATTTTCTTACTATTTTGACAGAGCCATTAAGTTGTGCAGAGGAGCCATTAATTGTACAGCAGGTTAGATTTCCTTAAGTCTGATTTCTTTGAAGATTGGTACATATTAATTAAATCAGGACTTACCTAGGCTATGCTAATCACATTTCTAGTAACGGTGGTATCTAGGTTAGCTTGCACATGCCTCGACTAATCCACCTATGTTGAACTAAATTTCCAACAGTGTTAACCTCTTGACCTATCAATTTTAACTTTTTTATCCAACCTGAATGTTTGCACAGATCTTTTTATCTTTTAACTGCATAAATCCATATTTGAAGTGAAACTTGCATGTTATTGTTGTGATACTAGTTGTAGTGGGGGTTGTGTATAAGCTGAACACTGATCTGTTGATATCGGGCTTCTTGACATGGGCTCCTCTTTCCCGGTCAGTCATCAGACTCTCTTGCTGCTCTCAGCTTAATTGTTTGCCAGCAGCTGTTGTTTTGCTGGCATTGCCCATCGAGATAAATCTTTGGTGGTGACTGCAGAGTCGACATCTTATTCTCCCCTACTTGAAAAACTAACCGATATTTTTGTTACTTTTATCTCAATAAACATGTACTGTTATCAAGTAAAGATAACCTTTGTGATGCTTTAACTGCTTTGGGCATCTTGCTGTCATATACAGCTGCCAATGGGAGTTGGTATATAGGATGCCTCATCCACTATATTTCGACAGCTGCTCATGAGAATTAGGTCCTTCACCTGCATGATATTGTCATTTTCACTTCCAAAATCACGGGGTTTACTGCTGCATGTAACAATTCAATATGAGGTTTTCCTTTTTTTTGATGGGTTACTCTACTCAAAATTTTAGTGCAGAGATAAGTAATCACTTCTTCAATTTACAAGTTGTCTCTCATCATGATTGATCTTTTATGGATGCTGAAAGAAGTAAATGGCTAAAATGGCATCTTGACACTTTCTTTGTATACCATGTGTTTTGTTAGGCGATGTTGAGAGTGTAGGGTGCTGACTGACAGTAACAAAGTTTGGCTGAATACATAGACACACTTAGAGCCCGTTTGGATTGACTTAAAAAAAGTAACTGCTAAGTCAAAATAAAAAGCCAAACTTAAATGACTCTTAAGTCAAAAAATAAAAAGTAGGGGAGGTTTACTTTTGGTTTTGAACTTTTTTTAGGTTATTTTAAACTTATTTTAAGCTCTTTTTAATTTTATCAAACACTCCCAAAAGCTAAAAATGACTGAAAAGTTGGTCAAGCCAACCCAAACAGGCTCTTAAACTTGTCCGAATTTTTCATTTAGCTATCTAAACTAAGCCTATGACCTATTGACACCTAACCTATATTCATAGAGATGTTGACCTTTGATGAAGATAAACTGATATATTGGCATTCTTTTCCAACTCTGTATACCAAGTATGGGCAAACTATCTCTAGATGGCCAAGTGAAGTAGTATTGAGACTTAAATTGTGCCTATTAGACGCATGCTGCTGAGGTGGCACATAGCATGGGTATCTCATGTAATGAGCGCGTGAATATGTTGAAATGAGCTGACATGTAACTTCTCTTCCTCATTTAATGGATTCTCATCTCTCTTCTCTCTCAATGAAACAAGACCCATCTCTTTACATTTTCCTCTAAACTCCACCAATGAACGACCACAACCCTCTTCCATGACAAAAACCAAAAACACTCATGCAGGTGATCTACTTCTTTAGATAAATATTATCCGTTGTTTCCATTGCAACACCCAGGAACGATGAAGTCAAATCAGCTACCACAAACCAAATTTTTTTTTTATACATGGAAGAGTATTACAACGGAAAAAACACCTCAATTGACTTCAAAATTTGATTAGCTTTGATCTCAAGTTAGTGCAGCAAAAGTTGAAAGAGAGTGCAAAGACAATCCAAGCTATGTAGCAATTACCATGAGAACTGTAGTGACGGACACAACACCTCATCAATCCCTCTCTCTAAACTCTTTAGGAAAGAATTCATTGGTAACCACTAGGTCTTTCCGGAGTTTGACTTTACAGGAAGTTCCTCTTTTCGTTGAAGGTTGGCCTTCTACAGCGAGAATGGAGAAAAGATCGATGGAAAAGGAGGGAGGAAGATGAATGTTGAGTGTTGTTTTATTAGCTTTGAGTCTTAGTTTGGTTTCAATGGTCGAAATAGTTGTTTTTCTGGGGGAGAAGAAGGAATGGCAGGGAGTTGAAAATAATAGACCTTTTTCTCTGGCTCAAGAGCTATTTGCTTGGATTTTAAGTGCCACATGTCTTTCTTTCATCAGCTTCTTTGCCAAGTCAACCGCATGACCCACATCCCATATCCTTTACTGTTTCGGTTGCATATATCTAAGGAAAAATTATACATAATGACAAACTATTAATTCAAATTAAATGGTATAATCACACTTTGATTTAATTGTGCTCTGTAGCAAACTGTTTGTCAGTCGCCTCTCTCCTTCAAACTCTCGCTCGCCTCTCTCCCTCAAACTCTCGCTCACCACTCTCCCTCTCTGTCTCGCTCTCTCTGTCGCTCACCTCTCTCGCTTTATACAAACAGAAATGTATAAATTGTGTTTTTGTTTGTATAAAGCGAGAGAAAATTGTATATACACATGCAAATATATATATCTTTGTCTTATACACTTATAATTATACAATACAAATATTTCTCTGTCCAGTTCTCTTTTGCCTTTCTCTCTTTTTCGCTTTATACAAACACAGATTATATAATGTATAATTTATGTTTGTATAAAGCGAGAGAGAGAACGATATTTGATATACAAACGTTTTATTTCGATTCAATTGTAAACAAGTTCAAATTTTATACAGATATACAAACACATAAAATTAAATTGAGAGACTCTCAACGATTTATACAAATGAGAGGCTGACAACAATTTATACAAATGGCCTGCCAGCGAAATTATACAAATCTGAAGAGGAGACAACGAATTATACAATTGCTTCTTTTGTATATATGTATAGCGAAATAGCCTAGTCATAGCATGTTTGCTATGGAGCGCAATTATGCAAATTTTGCTATAACATACAAATATGAATTTTGTGTTTGCTATATGTGAAAGTTGCTCTATATCTAATAGATACATTTTGAACATAAATTAGTTGGTCTACACGTCACGAGCTTGGTTTAGGTAGTTAAATGAAAATTCGGACTAGTTTATGGTGTTTGTCTTTGTATTCAGCCAAAAAGTAAATATCTGTGAAGTTTAATATAAGATATATTTGGATATTTAAGTAACTTGTTTTGGAGCTTCCCTCCTTTCAATTTATCTTGCAATTTACCTATTTTCATTGGAATGTTTTGATTGTAAGAACAAAATATCTGCAGGTCAGGGTACTTGAGGTGGCCCTTGTGAACAGATGGTCTAGCCAGGGGATGAAGCCAACCACTCACACACTTCTTCCTGATTGCCAGCAGTGTGTAAAAGACTATCCACTTTAGTTTTTTTTTCTTTAGATGAAGAAGTGAGAAAAAGTCATCTCCTCCCAAGGAAAAAGAAAACAGCCCCACCATGAACAACAATTTTTGTTACAGACACAAATAATTATACAGGAATATTTCCATGGGTTTGCTTCTTGTGTCTGGAATCTAATAACAATGCTATATCAATCATTTCGTCATTTGTTTGACTGAATTATAGAAGAACTTTCCTTCTTGAACTGAGGATGTTTGCGCTTGAATCTGAAAGGCATAATACATAAATATACATTCAAACTTGGCCACAGTTGTCAAGTAAGCACTCCAACTTTGAGAGTGCACATCTAGACACCTCAATCTGGTCTCAATTGACAACTGAACACTTCAACTCATCCCCACTATGTCTCGTGGACACGCAATGATTACATGACACATAAATATTGGAGGTGTCTAGATGATCATTTTGTAAAATTGGAATGTTTGCTTGATAGTTGCGGCCAAGTTAAATTGTCTATCTATGTATTATGCCAATCTGAATAGCTAATCGAAGAGATGATGACACAATCATTGTTTGTCAACGAGTTCATTCTAGTAGTTATATTTTGGTTGATTTAAACGTAACTGTCACTTTATTTCTAATTGTTGCAAGCCATTAGCCATATAGAATTGTGTTCTATGACTCTGGGCTAATGATAATGACATTCTCTTGTCAGATTGTCCAAATTGTTCTAAACTCTACCAACTTGATGGATAGAAAACTAATGGTGAAATCTTATGTGCACCTGTGAATTGGTATAAACACTCGATGCAGGTGATAAGTACTGCATAACATCCAAGAGAGCCAAGACTAAAGTGACAACAAAGTTGCAAAAGTTATATATTTCATTAAAATTTGGAAGAAATTTTAATGGGCATCCCTTTGGAAGGGAAAGGAAGGGGATCCATGACAATTGGTTCATCATGATCTATCAAAGACCAGTTATATTTTGTCACAACATAATGAACAAATATAAGAATATTTAACTTTGCCAATTGGTACCCAGCACACAATCTTGGACCTCCTCCAAATGGTATAAATGCATATGGTTGAACAGGCTCTTCAAATCTACTTGGATCAAAATTTTGAGGCTCTTTAAAATACTCTGCACTATTATGTGTACCATATGTTGTCCACAATACCTGCATAAAACAACAAAAATTAACATCCATTTTTGTACTGTGTCTGATATATCCCTTCTTGTTTGGGATTGAGGCATAGTAATTGTTGTTCTTGTTATCGTGAGTCGTGAGTCGTAGCAATAGTAACTTTATAGAATATTCTTACCTTCCAACCTTTTGGAATAGTGAATCCATCAAATTCAATGTCAGCAATTGCTTTTCTAAATGAACCAAATATAGGAGGAAAAAGCCTCATACTTTCCCTAGCAACTTGCCATGTATATTTCATTTTTTTTGTGTCTTCCAAAGATAGTCCCTCATCTGGTCCTTTGTTGCTCATTATATTAGCATGTTCTGTCACAAGTCCAAAATTTCCACATTAGAAAATTTCGATATAATGATGGAAATAATAACTAGTTTCTGTACACGTACCTTGAAGGAGGAGAGAATAGCAAGTCGGATGTTGAGCTAACATCCTAAATGTCATAGCAATAGCAAAAGAAGTTGTATCATGTGCAGCAAACACTAACAAAACTACATTATCAACAACTTCATCTTCACTAACTTCACCACGAATCATTGCTTTCACTAATCGCGAAAGCAATGACTCATCTAATTTCCCTTCTTCATTTTGAACCCGCCCAAATTCAATCTCATTTCTCTTCTCCCTAATAACCTCAACAAGAAATTTTTGTACTTTCATCCTTGCACTTATAGCCCTCGAAAATTTTGACCCTGGAAACTTAAAAGGTGGCGAAAAAGCCCCTTCCAAGACTCCTTCAAACGTTTCAAGTAATCCTGGTTTCACCACGATCCCTAAAAAACACTCGAATACTATTTTAAACGTCAAAGATTTAGTAAGATGATAAAGCTTAATCGTCCGGTCTACTTGACCTTGACTAGTACAATTTATGTACAAATGTGATTGAATTGTGTTACAAATTTTGGGCACCATTGTATCTAGACTAGTAGATGTAAGACTAGATGAAATTATGCCACGTAGGAATCGATGCATATCACCTTTTTTCTCCATAATTGAATTTTTTCCCATAAGTTCAACTGATGAAGTAGGCCAAGAACTTATTACCAATTTGAATTCATTAGACATGAAGAACATATTGGCTTTTGCTCCACATACAACTACTGTTGGTTCACCCATAAGTCTTGTTTTGAATGTTTTTCCATATTTTTCGATACGCGGTTCGACGAATTCTTCGAATAATTTGTTCTTTTTTTGAGATTTGTAAAATTCTATGGTTTCACCTAGCCATGGTAGCCCCATTTCTCCTGGTGGAAGTTTTTTTTTGGTAATATGATTTTTGTGGACATTTTTGTAATATTGTTTCAATAAAAGGGAAAAGAAAATTATGAAAAAGATTGATGATGCTAATAAGGTGAAATTAGAAAGAGGAAAGTTCATATCTATAGCCATTAATAATGAAAGGGAAACTAAAACAAAGCTAATTTTGGGTTTGCGAATAATTAGCTTTTAAGAACTATATGCTAAATTTATAGTACTCATTTGCATGGGAAAGATTACTTGTTTTAGAATAAAATGAAACACTTTAAAAAGTCAAAAGGTATTTGGTCGATTCAAAAGTCAACCAATTATGCAAAACCTAGCTAATTAATCACTCCATTAACAATATTCCGTAATTGATTTAGTTTAGTTTATATAGACTGACAGTATATATTAACTTATCATAATATGTCGTTTTCCTTATTTTTTTCAAATTACTACGTCACGAATGATTTTTTGATAGTTATTCTTAAAGTGATATAATATATAGTGTCAAAATTACACTATTATTAATATATAGAGGTTAGATCTATATATAATCATCCTTTTTCTTCAGATTTAATTATCGTAGGTAATGCATGTGAGGTTGGCCGTCCAAAAGCTAAGTTCTTCACCCTAGAAATTGAAAACCTTTGAATCATCAACAATTCATCATAATATATCTGAAAGATTTATATGGAAAGAAAAAGAAAAGAAAAACTTACCGGCCACCACGATTCTATTAATATTTGTTAATTGGTTTTTGAAATATTTAATAACCTTAGTATCCCTAGATATCTGGTGTGTCTAATATTTTAATTAAATATGGTTTAATTAATAGCTTCTACTTGACGTGAAACTTGCAGAAGCATCTTCTCCACTTTCATCGTGTTGAAAAAAATAAAAATAATCACCAAAGAATGTGGTGTAAATAAAATTTCGCATTCGAATTCTTGATATGAAAAAAAAATCTTTAGTGAATTAATCTCCTCTAATACGAATATCAAACATGATAAAGAAATTCTTAACAGAAAGCATTTTCCCCGAATGAAACCCTATACGATGCAAGTTTGGAAATATATACGTCATACCGCACCTTATAGGAAAGGTAAATAGTTGAATAATGAATTGATTTGCGGATCAGGTTCGCACTATGATTAACAATTATAATAAAGATAATACCCTTTTTATTTTTGAACAAGGAGCAAGTGCATAAATGATATTTGGTATAAAGTAAAAGTGGTTCTCATGGACAAGTTGAAGGAACGAGACTGAAATAGTTCAGACATGTGAAGATGAAATGTAGGTGCTCTAATGAGGAGGTGTAACAAGGCGAAAAATACAGGTAGATCAGAGAAAATATTGATAAAAGATTATTAAACAGAACATAACATATCTATAACTTATCGAAAATGTAGCCTAAATTTAATTCTCAAAATTTATACTCGAATGATTAAGGAGGAATCTCATCTATTCCGCCACGTTCTTAAAGTAGGCGGTATTAATTATTTGGCCAACAGATTCGTTTTGGGCGGTCATTTTAAACTTGAATCTTACTGCACCTACATGGCGTGGTTTTTAATTTATTCTGCTAACTCTGTTTAGTACAGAATATGCTGTAACCACAATATAAAAAACCAAAATGTGTTGTAAGAACCTAAATAGATATGTTAAACCTCTAGCATATTTTCTTTAAAGATGAGTCAAGATATGTAATATTGGATAAGGAATTCTCTGTTTTTCAATTGAATTCGTCGTACCGAGTTTACCTAATATATTCGTTTATGTATCTTAAGTGATTTGTAAATTATTGCACTGGGTGATTAAACTTATTACTCTCGTCTTCTTTTATTTGTCTAGTTTATATTTTGTAATCTCGATACACAAATATTATTTAAGTGTTTATTTTATGGGGAAAGGGTCAAAAATACCCTTCAACTTTGGTTTATAGTTTGACTTTACCCTCGCCGTTAAAATAAAGTTAATTTTACCCCACCCGTTACTAATTTCACCAAAATTACCCTTCATTTGACGGAATCTCCAAAATTGACCCAAATTACCCGAATTTAAAAAAAAAAAACCCTATTCCCTATTTTTAACCCAATTCCCCGACCTCCCCCGACCAACCCGGTTCACTAGCATCTTTGTAAAATTTAAATTTAATCAAAAAGAACATTGAAGTAGAACCATTTTGAGATAGCCACCATGGAGTATTAGTTAGAGCTGAAATATGTTGTAGCATCTATGTGAACTTTGCTTTCTGTGTGCCTGCTAGCTCCAGTGAGAAATCAAATTTGTTAACTCAAACGGTTGTCCCCTACAAATTGAGCAGTTCAGGAATTAAATAAGACAATTCAGAAAAGCACATTGGCTCTTTTCATCAACTAGATAAATTAATTAACTTGAATCCAAATAAACAAAAATATTTACGAATTTCACTACTTGAATTACAGAGTTACCACAGAAAGACCAATATGGATCAGAACTTAACAACAAGTATTTACCAGATTTACTACTTGAGTTACAGAAGCATTGCAGAAAAGAGTACACTCCATTCATACCAAAACACAATCAGGTTTGAAATTAAGGTATTAATGAGTCCTCTCTTTTAACATATATTCACCATATCATCAACAATCAATACAAATATACATACATTAGCAGAGAATTAAGAGTTTATTTCCAGAAGATCAACCAAAATGTACCAAATAATTCTTATGGACTCTGATAAGCCACCAAATTCCTCGTAAATAAACTCAATACACCAAATGAAACTACGAGACCAAATTTTAGAGCTGAGATAGTTTTGTACAAAATCGTCAGCTAGAGGGGTCGGGGCATTGGGTTAAAAATAGGGAATAGTTTTTTTTTTTAAAATTCGGATAATTTGGGTCAATTTTGGAGATTCTGTCAAATGAGGGGTAATTTTGATGAAATTAGAAACGGGATGGATAAAATTAACTTCATTTTAACGGTGAGGATAAAGTCAAACTATAAACCAAAGTTGAGGGGTATTTTTGACCCTTCTCCCTTATTTTATTGATATATTATCCTTATTAACTATCCTTTGAAACTTTTTAATTTAACTACTAGTACAACAATAGGTTTGCCAAATGGTTACTCATAAGGATATATTTTTTTTAAAAAAGTAACTAATTAACTGTTGGATATTTTTAAAATGAACAAAAAAAATATCTATTTCTAATATACTGAATCAAATAAAAGAAAAACAAAACGGAAGGAGCATATAGTGCATTACTTTTTATGAAAAGGGATATCTGCAGCCATTATTTTTTGGTGCGTACAAAGTAAAACCCCCGCTTTTATGCGGGTAGGTGACAAACTACACAGGAAAGATAACCTGCACTAGGCAAGCCCGGTGCTGACAAATCCAAAATTAAATGGTCTAAAAAACAAAATCTTTTACTGGTCAAGTGTATCAAGAACAAAATTTTAGTGTATCCTTTTAAAATTTCTTTGATTCTGAAGATACTGTGTTTGTACAGGGAAACAGAATATATATAAAGTATACTAATTTACAACCACCAGCAATTAATTAGCAAGAAATGATTAGTATCTAATTCCCAATATTATTTCTAACTACTAATACTGATCATCACGAAGATGACTAATCTATCAGGAATCACATGTAATGATATTTCTAAATATATTAATTATATATGCATGATCTATTGGTCCATTTGTTATGATATATTTCTAGTTTACAATATACTACTATCCTTTCTATACCAAATAAATAAATAATTGCTCGAGTAGTAGACCACGAAGAAACTCTTACAAGTTGTTACTTTATCTACCAAATGGATATTGAATTGACCTTTCCCTAATTTCGATCCGAGAATATTACTGTTGATATTCTGACCAAAAAATTAGACATCTGATGCCCTCGATAGATCGTGTATACAAAATTCCAAGCATCTTCGAAAAGATGAGAGTTGTGCACACTATTGGTGGAAAGGTATGAAGAGGGATGTCGCTGAGTATGTGGCTAAGTGTGTAGTGTACCAGGTGGTTAAGGCTGAGCACCAGAGACAATAATTTACGTAATGATATTCTAAAACATCAAGATGAAGAGCTAATATCGTATGGACCAATGATCCACATATCAATACTTTAATTTAGTTGAGAAGTAATTTGATACTTAAAATCTTACTTCAAAATTATTGTTGTTGTTTTAATTTTGAGAATAAACTCCATCTACTACACTAGCTAGTTGGTACTGAAGATTATATATTGCCCATTTACTTTTCTTCCGACTTACTTACCCTATAGTAGTAGCATTATAGACTTATAGTGCACCCCTATGAACCTTTTGCATTTGTGGACTTCACTATCTCACACTAAACATTACATTTACTCAACAACGACAAATCCAGTGTAATCCCACAAGTGGAGTCTGAGGGGAATAAAGTGTAGGCAAACGATACTATTTCCGAGGGACCCTTAGTTCAAAGACATTGTAGCCTCTCCTTTTTTTTTTTTACCACCAAAGAGTTTGAAATTGTAAGTTGTCCAAATGGAAAAGATAATCAAATGACATAAATGTAGAAGATCAGTTAAGCAACCACAAGGCCACAAAAGCTGAAGAGTGTAAATATGTATCATAGATGAGAAAACCTACCTCATTTGGTTATTTTTCAAAATGACAGCTCATGCCAATGAACATGGTTCTTCTTATTTTAATGTTTGGTCTCATCTCTCTCTACATTTACTCCTAGAGGACATTGATGAGTACAGATAGATACCCACTACATAAATTAGTATTCAAAGGTGCATCCAATGGTATCACTCAACAGTCGATGAAATGGGTGAAAATCGCGAGAGATTAAAGTTCAAATCCCACCAGAAACAAAAAGCTAAGTGATTTCCTCTCATATGTCAAAACTCGAAACCTTGGTAGACAGAATTATCGAATATCTATGTTAGTAAGATATAACAAGTACTTGAAAGACTAATTAAGGTACGCGTAAACTAGATCGGTCACCCCTATTATCCAAAAAATATATATAGTCAAAGTGACTTTAACACAGAGAACAGACATACACAACCTACCAATCCTCAAAGGAGGGACAATGCTTTTGCTGTCTCATTTATTGCTGCAATTCAATGTCCTGCCATCACCTACTTGTCTA